GTTGCCACTGCTGTAATCTCTCTTCTTGTTTCTTTTCTTTTTCCTCCAACAACTGCTGTAATCTCTCTTCTTGTTTCTTTTCTCGTTTTCTTGTTTCTTTTCTTTTTCCTTCAACAACTGCTGAATCTCGCTTCTTGTTTATTTTGCTGTTCGAGCTGCCACTGTTGCAGGTTTTCTTGCAACTGCTGTTGTCTCTCTTCTTTTCTTTTCTTGTTTATTTTCTCGTTCTTCTTGTTTCTTTTGCTGTTCTTGTATTGCTGCCATCAAATCTGCTAAGCTGTAGTTTGATTTGCCACCTCTCCTTTCCATCTTCTTCTTCTTCTTTTTTTTATTTTCTGTCCCACCCTCTGACACCAGTTTGTTATGTCTCTGTGTTAGTTTGTTAATTTTCCGTAGAAATTCTTTCCAAAGAACTTCAGCGATACAAGTCCTTTCTTAAATAAATCTAGTTTATTCTTTCTCAATTCAACTTAGCAGTACACTTAATTTCCACAGTCATTTTAACTTAAACACACGCTAGAATTCACAACGATTCACGCAATGTACTTACGGCTTGACTCGATTATCTGTCTCTATATGTCTCAGTCTGCAATTCAATTATCGCCGTCACTTTATTTGCCGGCTTATATACTATAAAAGCGCGAGTCTAGCAAACGCTAGAACGTTCGATCTTTCTAGAACATCAGCGCATGCTCCCAGTATCGCGCGACTTCCGCTGTCGTAACAATATTTTGACTGATCATTATTAGCAAATACAAGCTTATAAACCAGTGTTTTCCAAGTTGTGTGTGGCGGCAGGCAGGTTGTTAGGGGGGTGTCGCGTGTGTTTCACCAAAGGAAGAATAATTACGATCATAAAAAAAAAACTTCAAAAAACAAACAAAAAACGTATATATTACATATGGTAGCAGCTGTATCGCGCAAATCAAGTTAAGTGAGTTAGGTGTCGTTGGTCAAAAAGTTTGGGAAGCAGTAGTCCAAACTGTGCAGTTCTTATGGTTGACAAAATGAACCCGTTATATATGTATGACTTGAAGCCTAAAAGATAGATTTCAGGAGTGCATTTCATGTATTGAGGCAACATTCGGACTGAAATTTTCAAATGAAAAATATTGTTCCAACCTACAGTGCGCACTTCATAGTTTATATTTGAGCCTAAAAAAAATTGAACAAAGTGCACATTATGCGCAGGTATTTACGGTAGTTTAAATTTAATAGGCTTGCACTTGGGCTAAGCAGCTGAAAAGTATGAATTCTTAACACAATACTCAATCTCCAAAACCAATATGACCGCATCACACTAATCATTAAAATCGATATTCAACACGTTACACCTCTACTCCCACAGATCATACAATTACTCGTAATTCCACAAACATCACAAAACAACTACATAGCTAACATAACTACATATTCACACAACATAAACGGACATGGCTCTGAGAAAGAAAGTAGCAACAGTAACTAACACTAATAGACATTCAAATCAGCTTACCTCCCCCCTCCAAAAAAAAGATTTTCAACAAACAACAACAGTTCAGGAGGGAGGAAGAGGTCTAGTTGGTACCTGATCCTCCCAGGTCTTCAAGACCTAAATCTCGATGCCGAAATTGCCGACTAGATTAAGTTGTAGGATATTTGTGGAAATTCTAAGGACATTCACTGATTCAGTACAGTTGAAACTGAACTTGCACAGAGGTGAGGGTACTTGGGAAACTGGGGATAAACAAATTACAAGTTGTAATTGGATAGCCAGAGCGACAAGGGGATTTGAAAAAGATTTAGAACATGCGTTAAAAATAGTTTTAAAAGGTAAATCATGTCACATTTCAAAATATGTATAGTAACTCATATTCTGTTAGGAGTATCGAGAACAAAAAGGACTAGTTCAGGGCCCTAGTTGAATTAGAAGACTGATATAATGGGAATTACTGAAATTTTGTTAGATTTCGAGAATACTGGTAATAACAATTTATTGTAAAATTCCATGTTATAAATTATTTAATAGTGACGACTTTTTAAAGATAGGGGTGGGACGGCTCTTTTTTTGAATGAATAAACTTCTTTATTTTGTGAACGAAGACATAAAAAATGGTATAAAGGTTTTGTTCAGAGGTTGAATTTGTAAGGGTTTACAATCAGCAGTTACAGAATACGTCTGAAAAATTGTATAATGAGCTATGGATTGTTACTAATATTATTAGTAATAAGGATAATGATGCAATAATTATAGAAGAATAATTTAGATACATTGATTGGAATTGTGTGAATCAAGTAGTAAAGGACAAAAGTTCCTTGAAGTGTTTCAGGATGGTTCTCTATACCAAGTGGTCAGAGAGCCAACCAGAGAGGATGTAGTTTTAGATTTATTGTTAACCACTAATGAGGATGTGATTGCAAGAGTTGAAGTGAAAGAACATTTCATGAAGAGTGATGGTTGCATAATTAGGTTTGATGTTTTGCTATATGTTGAGGAGATAAAATATGAACTTTCAGTTTCTAATTCTCAAAACAGCTAATTTTGAAACTACGAGACAAGATTTTTCATTAGTGAATTGGAATAATGAGTTAAAAGATGATGTGGGACAGATTTAAGAAATTTTAAAAAAGTTGTTTTTTATCTAAAATAATCCTCACAAAAAGAAAAAGGACAGCAAGGAAGATCAAACATAATGCAGTTACTAAATACAAAAAATAGAGAAACATGGATAAATGCTATAATTTCAAGAAGTTTAAATTGACAGATAAAATGGATGACTTACACAACTATAGGAAGGCAAGAAATTTGGTCAAAAAAAAAGAAAATATCGGAAAAAGCTTATGAGAAATAACTGGCTGCTAATGTTAAAACTAACAGCAAAGATTTTTTAAGTTATGTTAAGGGTAAGCAAAATAGTAAAATGAGAACTGGGCCCTTAAAGGATGTTGATTGCAAAGGTTTAGTTGAAAATTGTTAGATAGCAGAACTTTTAAACTGTTTAGTGCTAAAACGGAAAATTAGGAAAACATAAAAAACAGGATTGAATAATGTTTTTCTCAGGGTTTTTAAGTAGGTCAAAGATCAGACATGTTAGCTTATCTCTTATTTTTGTTAGGTTAATAAACAGTGAGCAGATACCTGAGGAGTGAATAGTCACTACTATTAATGATTTTTAAAGGAGGGTGAGTGATAAGAGATACCTTGTAAATTATAGACTGGTTAATCTTACTTCTGAGAGGGGAAAATTCCTGAGAGTGATAAAAGAAGCTTTGTAAAATGAAGTAGTAAAATATTATAAAAGAAAATCAGTATATACTTACTGAAGTAAATCCACCTTCACTAAGCTTTTAATTTTTTATGATTATATGTGCTATTTGGAAGCTGGAAAAGGTGTAGATTTGGTCTACTTAGGTTTAAAAAAAAGGTCTACACAAAAGATTAGCTAAGAAATCACATTGGTGAGTGTTAGACTGTATAATGGTTGGATGTGAGAAAGCAAAATGGTCATCATGATCATCAACTAGCAGGAATTTTGATTTGAAGTCTTCTAAGGAAAACCTTAGAAGACAATCGAGGGTGCTCAGAAACTTCTGTTCTTCTTCGCCCTGCTCAAGGTTGTGGTAGGGGCATACCTTGAATGTATGATTTTATAGCTTCCAGTTTTATTAATGGAGTCAAGTCATACTTTACTCTTGTTTATAGTGTAGTGCTTTTTCATATTTATCTTAATGATATTGAGAGGATCATAATTAGTAAAGTTTGTGCATGACATTAAACTTGAGTATTTTTAGTTGTATTAAAGTTGTCAAGCTACCATGGAATGGTTTGGATCAGTTGATAAGTTGGACAAATAAGCTTTAATTATAGTAACTGCTAGATAATGCATTGGGTTATCAAGATTTGGATTATGAGTTTAATATAGATAAGAACCAACTCAGTAGTGTGATGGAAGAAAAGAATGTTGCTGCAGTGTGGTGGATAAGTCAGGCAATAAAAGCAATGTTCTCTTGATAGTAGCAAAGCTAATAGAACTTTTATAGGTGTTTATACCTTATGTACATATTGATTACAACTCAAAAGAGGTAATGAATTTACTCTTTACACAAATCAGTAGTTAGGTTGCTCTTGGAATACTGAATACAGTTTTGGTCTCTATCTAAGTAAGGATATTGACTTTTTGATAAAGGGTTCAGAGAAGGACTACTAGAATGGTTCTTGAAATGGTAGCTTTAATTTTTGGAGTTAGGTATAGATCTCTTAACTTATTTGCTCTTGAGAAAAGAAGGATAAGAAGTGATCTTATTGAAGTTTGCAAGATTACTCAAAGGATCAACAAGATAAAAGCCTGATTTTTATAAGTTATATTTTGAAGACAAGAGGATAAAAGTTTAAAATTTGGAAAAGACTAGGCCGCAATTAAGACTATTTTATTGTTTTATTTTTTAACAGAGTGATGGACTCATAAAATAAGATGCCATCAACACTAGTGAAGGTTGGCAGTTTAAGAGTTTAAAAAGAGAATCCCTTATTTCCTGAGTTGGTTTAGTTTTTACTTTTTCTTATAGGTGGGTGTGTAGAGAGGAGAGGCAGCCTTAGAAGACCAAATGGTCCTCTGTTGTCCATATCTTATGTTAATAATAATGTTATATTCGATGGGTATCTTCTTTTTTCTTGAAAATCCTCTGGAATTAAACCAGAAATTTTTTGACAATGCACAGTGACACTCATTATGTAACTTAAAGTTAATATTAACAACCAGATACTGGGTGGATGTTTTTATCAAGATCTGTAGGTAATTTTGCATATTATTTTGAAGTTGGTAAAACTTATAATGCAGAAAAACTATCACATTATCAAAAAAACATTATTATTATTATTACTGTTACAGCATTAAAATAAAAAGTTACTGCAGTTACTATTGACAGTTGTTTGATGAAAAAAATCTAGACTTATAAAAAAAAGAATTCATTATATTATTTACAAAATCAGCATTAAGAAAGGATGAGAAGAATGTACATGATTATCATTTGTGTATAGAAATACCTAATATGAAAGTAAGAAGATAAATAAAATGAATTTTGTTGTGTGATGACAGTGATATTATCTAAGATAAAAATGTTGATATTTTTTTATTCTTACAGGTTATTGTTGAAAAAGATGTGAATGCTTATCATTCTACACTAGAGATAGATGATGTAACAGTAGAAGATGCTGGAAAATATAAAGTAGTAGCCAAGAATGAACTTGGTGAAAGCAATGCAACAATTAGTCTCAATTTTGACAGTAAGTACTTGTATTTTTTTCATTCCTTGGTATAATTTATACTTTGAATCTCATGTAGGGAAGTTCAATTTCATACTGATCAAAAACATTTTTTACTACAAGTATGAATATAAAATTCAAGTAGTCCTTGAACTAAACGTTTTAGTTTGCACTTTGTAATAACAGAAGTTGTTGGGTAAAACTTTTTGTATTTTCATCTTCTTAAGGTTACAAAATACTTTTGTGTATCACATGTTGTTTACCATGGACTCTATTAGGATTTAATTATAATGGGAGAGGTTTTAAAGACATTTGTGACAGAAGCTTCACAAACAATACAGTTGAATAGTGTTCTGCAGTTAGTACAGGTAAATGGTTTAAATTATTTTTCAGTTTATTTATTTTTTTACTCTTCACATACATTGACAAATTATTCTACATAAGTATTCGGTTTTAGTTGGTATTGAATTAGCAAAGAAAAAAATACAAGTACACATCAAATGTAAGATTATACCATTGGTGGATGCCTTAATTGCTGAATTTTCTGAGTTGTACTAGAACCATATTATGGTTGAAAAAATAGTGTATTAATCTGATAAACTGTGAATTAAATCTGTGTAGTTGTATGGATAGCTTTAGTAAGTTTATACTTCTTTCCAATTCAAAAGGTGATGAACAAGCACCTGGAGAAAGTGCTAAGCCAGTATTTACAGAAAAACCTGTTATACGGCAATCAGATGATGGTAGTAAAATGACTTTTGAATGCCGTTTAGTAGCAGATCCTGCTCCAACAATAGAATGGTGAATGGCTTACTTCTGTTTCCTAGAGCATTTTCCTATTAAAGGCAATTAATGTAATTTAATTCTTTCCTAACCAGAGTGAAATCTTGTAGTATCTTATAAATCTCACCAATGGTAAAAATGAAGTTTTTTGTTTTTGTTTTATCAACAGTTACTTTTGGATGTAAAAAGAAATTAATAATGCATGTTTGGATTAAAGATTTTGAAATCTTTAATTACTTTTAATGTATATATTTTTTCTACTAAATCAGCTTAAATATAGTTTAATAAAGATGTAAACAAGAAAAAGATTTAAATGCATTTTTGTTTCAACAATCTTATTATATGGGTATAGGTATCATGGTGGAAAACTAGTCAAAGATGGTGGCCGGTTCAAGTATGGGCTCACCTCTGACAAACATAATCACACTGTCTCTTTAGAAATCAAACAAGTTGAAGCTTCTGATGGTGGTGAATACAAAGTTGTGGCTAAGAATAGCAATGGTGATGGTTCTGCTACAATTAATCTTAATTTTGAAGGTATGGCTCAAGATAATTACGCCATTTACTGGCAATTTTGTGTAATTTTTGTTTTGAAACACATCGTAACTTGTTAAACAGAACAGTTGTTTACTTCCCAGTTTTTCAGTTTAAAGATAGAAATTCTGATATAATACTTTTTGAAATAATTAATGTGATTTCAGTTTATTGTATAAGATGAATCTGTACCTAAGCAAATTTCCACAAAGACTAATGATTTACTTTTTGCTTCCACAACAGGTGATTCTGACAAGCCCAAGTAAGTGTTTTTATTTTATTAATTCCATAAACATTTGCAGATGCATGCCTCAAAACATGTATTTTTATTACATATGTTTAAAAAAGGTTTTTGTATCAAGGTGATAGAAATCTATAAAACATTGAGAATATGATTCAGTGGGTCATCTGGACTTTAATATTAGTATACTCAGTATAATTATCCAACTTTTTTGGCATTGTGATTTTATAAGGTTTAACAGGGATATACTTATTTCAGAACTTTTTAAATAGAAAAACCGTTCCTCTTTTAAACAGGGTTCCAGATGGAAAAGCACCCAGATTTCCACGAAAACCAACAATAAGACAAGATGGTGATAATCTTATTCTTGAATGTATTTTAGAAGCAAATCCATTTCCCCAGATTACTTGGTATCATGGAACCAAGCAGGTTTCTGAGGGAAAGAGGCACAAATGCATTAAAAAGAATGTGTCTACAGACACCTATTCTCTTTCCTTGGAAATAATGGTAAGGACAATATCAAAGTAGTTGTTTGATATCAATTTTTCATTTCTAAAATTTTTTAAAGATATTTTGATACCAAAAGCTTTTTTATTTGTTTTATTTTTTCATGCCTTTTTGTCACTGAAGAAGAATAGGAAGAAATGAAATAGGAAAATTGTTTTCCTGAATATACTGTAAGAGAGAGAGAAGTTAAGTTAATTAAAAGAATTCTTCTAATTTTCACAGGATCCTACAACTGAAGATGGTGGGAATTACAGATGCAATGCTGTTAATGAGCTTGGAGAAAGTAATGCAAACATAGCTCTGAATTTCCAAGGTTTGTTCTATTAATAATGAATATTTTAGCACATTACAGTTATTTATAGAATGTATTAAATACACATAGCTCCAAATCCTAATTCTTTGTATTGTGAAGTATCTATATGCTACAAAAATGTTTTGCTTGAATGCTACCATTTGTGAATTGTATGTGATATTTCTGATAATTCTTGCATGTGTGTTGTTTAAGACTTACGTTTTTTACAGTTAAAAGAAACAAATACTGGTCCACCTTTTTGAGATCATTTCCTTTACAAATTGAAAAAGAGGCAACTTGATAAAATGTGTATATTTCATATAAATTTTAAGGTTTGGGAAAAATAATATATATTAATAAATCAAATTTTTTTTTTGGGGGGGGTGACAGTAATGTGAAAAAGTTATGGAATCTAAGTGTCAGAAAAAAAAATAGTTTTGAGATATTGTCTATGACACTTAGAGATTATTTGTGAGATACCATAAAATTTCAGCATTATAAACATGTGCTCTGCACATAAAAGATTAATTAAAGTAATTGCATATCACTGTGCAAATAAAGTTACTGTATAGTGCTAGAAGTCTAAATAGTAATATGTGGTTATCAAGGGTAAAAAAAATATTGCTTTGTAAAAAGGCAGCCAAAACAATGCAAATTTAGATCCTGATATTTTTAATTCTATGACAATTTTAAAGATGACTGATGTGGACTGCTGATTTTTTTTTTTTTTTTCAAATAAGAGGGGGTTTTTTCAAAACACTAAAATATTAAAATATCGAATATTTTAGGGGGAGAAGCTCCAAAAGAAGAGGGAGAAGGACCATCCTTTGTGGAAAAACCAAAAATCATTCCAAAAGATGGTGGAAAGCTTATTGTTATGCAGTGTCGTGTCAAGTCCACACCACCTCCAAAATCAACATGGTACCAAGGAACTCTTATTGTTAAAGAATCAAACCGAGTCAAGAGCCAGATAATAAATGAGGGGAATGATGAATATACAGTGGTACTTGAAATCAAAGTAAGTCTGTTTTACTAGTAGTCAACAGGTTTTGAATATATTGTATACAAAATAAAATGTTCAATATTTTATTTTGTAATTTCATTTCATGTGGTTTTATGTGTTGTCAGATGTGATGCTTTAATGTTTTATTTGTTTCCTAATAAAATGTTTGTGAATAATTTTGGAATATATTTAGTAACACTTAGTAAACTATAAGTCAAAAGTAAATTAACTTGCCAACACCATAGGCTGGTAATGAATATAAATTTGGGTAAGGAAAAAAACAATATATATATATATTACTTCATGATTCCATTGTCACCTCAAGGATTTGAACATTTGATTCCTTCTAACAAATGTAGCATAAAAAAGTTAATCAAAGAGGCCTTGAACTCATAAGCATATTATCCTAAGTGCTTAGAATCTAATTTGATGTGTAAATGTATTTTTCAGTTCATAAAAATGAAGAAAATGAACCGAACTAACTAAATATATTATTGCATGGTACATTAAGTATTTTTGTGTAGCTAGAAAAAAAGGAGAAATTAAAATATTTCTTGATGTTTTCCACTTGTTTAATAGTTCAAGTACATTGACAAATAATGTTAACAAGGAAGTTTTTAGTTGTTTTCAGTAAGTTAGCATATTTCAGTTTTAAAACCATAATTTTGTTGATTTTGCATGAAATGCTCGTATTTATATATATGGTTGTTTTTCTAGGATCCAAGTGCTGAAGATGGTGGAACATACAAGTGTAACATAAAGAATGACAATGGAGAAATCAATGCTAACCTAAATTTAAACATTGAAGGTAATTGTTTAGAGTGAAGTTATTCATGGTATTTTATATGTATTGCATAAGTTTAAAGTTCAAGTTTAGGAATTTGTTAGTATGGTTCAGTAACTTTGTAAACTGAAGCCTGTAAACTCAAAAGTTATGATAAATAAAATTTAGGTAATACAGATATTGATAATTCCATCACACCTAAATCAATAGGACCTATTATGTATTAGTTGATTTTATTAAAAAGCGAAGAATGTTGCTCAAAGATAAACTGTATTGTTTAATCCTTTCCTTGATTACATTTAAGATTATTTTGACAAATCATAAGTATTCTTAAAAGAAAATATCTACGTAAAAAGAATTTGGTAAAACTCAGTACTTGTATTGTTTTTGTCTGTCAGGAGAAAAAAAGCCCCCTGGTGAAGCTCCAACTTTTATTGAAAAACCCAGAATTATCCCTGAAGATGGAGGAAAAAGAATCATAATGGAATGTAAGGTCCATGCTAAACCCAAACCAGATATTGTGTGGTACCGGGAAGGCACAGTTGTGAAAGAAACAACTCGCATCAAGCAAACAATAACAGAAGAAAAGGATGTGTATCACATAAAACTAGAGTTAAAGGTCAGTAGTTTTCTTGATGTTCAAACTATTGTCATTAGTTTGCCAATAGTAACAAATATTGGTTCATAATGCCTGTTTCTTTTTTTAAGAAATAACACTAGGATATTATATCAGTGTTTTTTTAAATGTCTTAGTTTTTAGCAAGTGGTTAAGTTTAGTGCAGTATGAATTAAAACAATAATTTGTAAGGAAAATATTTTTTAGCTTAAACTTAAAAAAACATTGAATATTTTGAAGAAGATGCATTCCATAGGAATATTTAAGTTTATACAGATGAGTGCTAAATTCTTTGTTGTATATTTGTTCCTTCACAACTATGTTTTAAAAAAATCTAATGTAAGACTAGCATAAAAAATACACTTTCTTTACCATAACATAGTCCTGAGATAAATTGTAGCACAGTAACAAAATGTGAGTTCATAAAACAAACATCTAAAATCAAGAACATTTAATATTTAAAAAGGTGAACTGGCTTAACACATAATGAAATTAACTGGTGTAAGCTTAATAAATTGTATTTACTTCTCTGAATAACGATACTCTGAGGTCCATGAACTGACCCTGATGAATTTAAACTATATTTTCTTCCATTGTTCACAGGATCCTGAATTGACAGATGCTGGCTTGTATAAATGTAATGTGAAGAATTCTGCTGGTGAAAGCAATGCCAACTTGACACTAAATATTGAATGTAAGTCAAAAGTTATTATAAAGTTTCAAGAAATTTAGGTACTTCATAAGCTTTATTTACTAATTCTCACTAAGGATCTGTTATGTAGTGCAAGTTTCTATAAGAAACATAAAGATGCAGGTTGATGTACTTTTTAAATTAAATTATACACTTTTCTATCTTAAGTGGCTCCTGTCATTAAAGAAAAGCCAAGAGTTGTGCGGAAAGAACATCACAAGAAGATCATAATAGAATGTCATGTGCAGTCCGCAGCAAAACCACAGTGTATGTGGTACAGGGAAACCACAATGATCCGAGAAGATACCAGACATTCAGTATTTATCCAAGAGATCAGTAAGGGTGAATATTCTGTAGCTCTTGAGATTGAAAAACCTTCTGAAGAAGACAAAGGAACATATAAGCTCATGGCTAAGAATGAGAAAGGAGAAGTGTCTTCTCAGGCAGTACAGGTGGACTTTGAAGGTAGGTATTATATTAAAATTATGACAATTACACCTATAAGATTTTACATTCAAACTTTTTAAGTTATTAAAAAAAAATGCTTTAAGTTTGAGATCAAAATATTAATTCTTTAAAAACTGTAACTTAATTTTAAGTCTATATATTAAAGAGCTTTTAAAACTCTTTAGTCCTAAAAACCCAAAAACGTTTGATTTTTTAAGGTTTTTGTCCAATAATTTAAAGATTAGAGTGCAGAATAATTTTGAAGTATGTTTCGAGGAAATTATATATAAAACTTTTATATGATCAACAAAATGTATTTGTGCCTCATTTGATATCAGTAAACTAGCAAAAATAGTTATTTATTTAAGTTAAAAAGTATAAATAATAGCCTATGTTTATTTCTGATCAGCACCACCAGAAGAAAAGAAAGAAGAACCCAAGAAAAAGGAACCAGAAAAGTAAGTTAGATCTTAAATTCCTTAGTCAGACACCTTCCTACGAATTGAAGTGCAAGGAGATAATTTGTTATTTATTCAAATGTAGTTGACAAAAATGTTTTATATATTTTTGTGTTAGTTAAAGATTGATGTAGACAATCATCATTTCATAAACTATTCTAGTCAAAAAAGATAAATGAATGAACACATTATCAGGTATTAAAAGGTTTCAAGAAATGTTTAAACACTTTTTAAACAAAAAATATTCAGTCTGTAACCATTATATCTATAAAACCAATTTGGAAGAGGTTTCAATCTTTAATTCAAGTTATTTCATCATATCAGTTTTTTTAGTTTTTAAATTAACTGGAAGTTTAAGAACAAAAAACTTTTATTTTAGATTTTCTTAGTGAAGCTTTCATTTATGAAAGCAAAAATATTAAGATATTTAGTATTTCTGAAACTAAGTTGTGTAATATCTCATGAAATGTAGAGACAAAATCATTATTAAAACAAAACTGCTAAAATGGGATGAACTTAAAAACATTGGGAGATTTGTGTTGTTTTTAGCCATATCCCATTTTGCTGTTTTAATTTTATTACCAACTTGTATTGTTTTTAACTAATATACGTAAATCTCAGTAAACATTGTTTTTCATGTAGATAAACTAATTTTGTAAAGTTTCTTAGTTAATAGTTTTATTGAACTGTGAAGTGAATAAACATGCATCAGTATGATATTATTGGTGATTTTTTTGCAACAAGATATATAATATATATGATATTGTTGTTTTTTTTTAGAAAACCTGCTGGAGAGAAACCAAAAGTTGTTCAGTACCCTAAATCTCTGGTATGCTTATGTTAGTTCTTATGACCTTAAATATTATCTTGCGCTTAGAAAAAATAGTTTGTAACTTTCAAAGTTTTGTTTGTATCTAAATCCAACTTATGTTCATAATTTTGACAGCATATCTATATAGAGTTTCTATGTTGACTTAAGCTATGGCAAAGTAAGACACATTTTAGTCCAAGTTTTAAAAAAGAGTTAATTTAAAAGGTGGTTTTACACTATAGTTTATTTCACCAACTTGACATTTTGCATCTGATTTTTTACTTTCATCAGACAGTGGAAGAAGGAAAATCTGCTGAATTTACTTGTAAAATTGACTCTAAGCAAAAAGCTACTGTTACATGGTTCAAGTAAGTATATTCATAACTACAAACTTGTGTAATTAATACCTAAAATATAATCTTGTAAATGTATATAATTGATATAAATATTATTTTTACCAGTTAAATACTCTATCTAAGCTTTAAAATTGTAAATTACATTATACACTATTACACTTTTATTTAATTATTAGATTATTTTTTAGATTTTTTTTTGCAAAAAATATGGCTTAATAAGGAAAATATAAGAACAATATGCCAGTAGATGATATGTTAAACTTTTGTATTTATAAGATAGCAATATTAATTTTTGTGTAGCTTATTTTTAATATTCATGTATTAATGTGGTATATTTTTATAGTAATGACACTTAAACTTGAAGTTGTAATTATTTTAATCTATATAGTATTGATCCCTAAGGAATATTAATTTGAAACTTATCAGGAACAAAAAGGTTATAAAAGAGTCTAGGGATTACAAGATGTCATTTGATGGATCAAGTACATCCCTGACAATTGTCAAAGCCACGTCAGAGTTTTCTGGTAATTACTCAGTAGAAATTGTGAATGAGTATGGAAAAGAAGAATGTTCTGCTGAGCTCACTGTTAAAGGTTAGTGAATGCCTTCTATATTCTTTTTAACTAGATGTAAGAATGAGGAATTTGTTTAAAGATGAGTCTTGGAAATAATGTTTTGATTTTTCTGTGCTGTGAAGAATATTAAGTTTTATTTGACATTCTTTGTTAAACTAAGAACAGTTTGTAGATTTTAGGCTTCTCTAAAAATGTGATATTTACTAAATTATTACCAAGTGTTCAGTATTTTTTACATGTTGATATCAAGTTCAACCATGAAAACTTCCAACTCACTAGATATCAGTTAATATGTGCACAAAAAAACTGGAGAAAATTTAAATTGCATATGTAAGAAGATACTAAATATGTAGATTTGATTGCATGCTTTAGGTGATAATTATTAAAAATATATATTTTTATAAGTGTGAATATTAAATTCTTGCTTGGTATGTAGAGTCAAAGAAGCCAGAAGAAAAGAAAGAGGAAAAACCAGAAAAGAAGCCAGAAGAGAAGAAAGAGGAGAAACCAGAAAAGAAGCCAGAGAAGAAGGACGAAAAGGTTGATGTTTATCATATTTTACTTGTTTTGTATTTATATAATGTTGTTTTTGAAATGTGTTGAAAGTATGTAATTTAGCCAATAGAATTACATGAAGAAAATACAGGATTTAGCAAAGTTGAGATAAACATTTGTAGAAGATGACACAATTTCGAGTAGGGATAACAATTAATAAAAATTAATTTAGGATACAACAGAATTTGAGTAACAATCACCAGTAGGGGATATGATGAATATCACAGATGGAGTAATAGATGCTAAAAGAGGATGCAAGATGTAATGTAAGTTGGTTAACAAGTAGTAGGAATGATTATAATATTAAACAGAGTAGGTGTTTGACTTTAGTAAATAGAATGAAGCTTCAAAGGACAGTAGTTTCTGTGATGGACTGGATTTGTTTCTGATACAAAAACTTTCTTCAGAATTAGCATAGTGATGTGATACCTAAAGATGTCTATCACGAAGACAGTAAAATAATGCATTCAGGGAAGAAAAAATCAATGGACAGTATATCATATTTTCTTCATATTAGTAACATAATATCTTTATTTTTCTTATTGTTACCCTGAAATATTACTATATAATTATTTCTCTACAGTTTGCTGCTATATTCTTCACCAACTTCTGTTGGAACAAAATTTTGTAAAAGGTTTAATCCATTCTCTGTTTTAATTCACTTATTTGAATAACATTTCTTTAATATGATAGCTCATGACCAATAAATAATGAAGAATATATAATTAATTTTGATCAAAATCTCTCAGTTTAATTAAAGATGGTAATTTTTTTTTAATGTGCTCAAGGTTAACTAATAAGAGTTGGTATTCCATCTTAATATTGGTCTAATCCAAAATAATGTGTATGATAAATTATTAGGCTCTTTGATACTTTTCCTAATTAGAAATTGGTGAAGAAAGTACTAGGATAAATTATATATATGTGCTGAGCCATAACATACAAAAATTGTAAGTTTTGGTAATGGCACAAGGCTGCAATAATATACAAGAGGTTTTAAAGACATAAATTCAATGTACAATCCAAACAGCAGATCATATCTCTCATGCTTTCTACTCCACAGAAGCCTGAGTCTTTACTAGATAACAAACCAGTTAAAAAGAAGAATGCTGATCATGGCATGCAAAACAAATCCAAAGACCAGCATAAAAAAAAGCTTAATTGTGAAAAAATAAAAGAAAAACCAATTGAAATGGATCAAACTCAAGTCAGTAAAGAAAGCATAATATCACAAAATACTTTAGTTAGTAGCACCCAAGCTCATTCTGAAGATAGTTCTGGTCACCCAAAACAGTCAGAGGCACCTGTTGCACAAACACAACCACGTAGGATGAGTGGAGTGTTTTTGTTAACAATGCCTGACTCACTTCTGCAAGAACAGATTGTTGTGGAAGAAGATGAGAAATTATCGGCTGAACCTTATTTCCATACTGGTCAAAAACCAACAATAACTATTCAGGATCTGACATCAGATCGATCTTCTTGTGACTCCCAGAGCAGGCGAAGTTCCATAGATGAACCATCCTCGCAGCGACGAGGCTCTGTCGGCAGTGGAAGATCCCTTTCACCAGCTGACGGTCATAGACGATCAATCAGTCTTGCTTCAGGAGATCAACTTCGAAGTGGTGCTGTGTCAGTCACCTCCAACCCAGCTTCTCATTTTCCTCCAGGATCTTTGTTGAGTGTGAGTGGACATACAATATCAGTTGAGGAACTGGAGGACTTATGGCAGGTATAAAGGTTCTCTTGCTGCCATGACTCACTGCTCATCTTTCTATTCTCTTCCAAAGAATCTTTGCTTCTTACTTTCCTTTAGCTTTGAATCTTTTTCAATATGAAGTCCAGAAATGCTTGCAAAAACACTTAAAGAATGAAAGAATATGAGTGTGTGTGTGTGTGTGTGAAGAAGTACTTATGTATTGATTTAAAATTATAATTAATAATGGATACCTTGAATATTGTTAAACTTAACTCAAAGAACAGTGATATGACATTTAAATAAGTGACCATTCTTATTTATTCTAAAAAATCTTGTCACAAACATTGAAGAATTGCTATAATGTACAGCAATAGCAAACATGGTGGTGAGGGTTTTTTAAATATTCACAGTTAACTAAATGTCATATTGCTGTTATGCACAGACTTAATGTTACTGTAGTGCATTTCTTCACATGGTAATATATACACATAGCCTGTTATCAATGGAGAGGTTGACAAAAAGAAAGAAGACAAAAAGGCTAAAGCTAAAGGTGAGAAGAAAGAAAAAGTTCCTGAAATATCAGTGGAAGAAGCAAAACCACAAAAAAGAGAATCACTGGTAGAAGTTCCAGTCATTAAGGAACCAACTCCTGAACCTGAGAGGAGAGATTCACTGGATCCCACAAGCCAACGTAGAGGTTCGGGTGTAGAAATTCCTACCACTAGTCCAAGTGGCTCTAGACGTTCTTCCATTCTTGTTGCTGATGAGGTGAGGTAGTATTTATTGTAGAAACTGATAAATTTCTCAGTGCCTTAAGAGACAAGTTCAATAGCAGTGATTAGAATAAGGAACTTATTCTAGATTAATCTGTCGAGGTTACCATTTCACTTTGTTTCACTGCCTTTTCAGTAGTATTCGTACAGAACTGTAAACAATATATACTCTCCCTGTTAATAGCTTATAAATTTTTCATTAATGGTTAGAGATAACTATTTACAGACAAGTTAAATTTGCAATAGGTTAGTATATTCAATTTTTAAACTAAGTTCAAATATAAGTAGATTTTTTCATGTAACTTCTATAAATAGAAATTTCATATATACATTAAAGCTACAATACTATAGTATATATTGCAGCAATTCAAAAAAATCTGGTTTTGCTGGTAAATGATAAAAGTTGTTTGATTGAGAATATATGAGTTAGTAGTGGAGCTGTAGGAAAACATTTGTGTGATTGTGGGTAAAAATGATATGAGCTAGTTTCTGAGAAATGATACATTGTGTAATACCTTTTGATTTGACTTGTGTGACTGAGAATGCTGTGTATGTGACAAAGCATCATGGCCACAAAAGCTTGCAATCTTCATCCTGTTGCTTAAGAATAACTTGCAAAACTCTTGCACTTTGAAAAGTAAAATTTAATAATTGAATTATACTTCTTTTATCTTCCTAATACAATTTTCTTTCTTTAACGAGTACAAAATTTCATCTGCAGTACATTTTTACATAAAACTTTCTGTTCAGCACTAAAGAATATATTTTTTTATGAACATGTATTACTTTGTGTTCTCACTTTGGATTTCTTTTGCTCACTTTTATGCTTGCTTTATTTTCAATTTATCTTTTCTTAGCTATATTATTTATTCTGAGCTAAGAGGTATTAAAAGATATTTTAAATGATTAAAGCATTTAAAATAAATTCATGTGAACTTTTAAATAACAGATTTATGCCTTTAAAGTTTTAAAAATACAAATGAATAAATGCTTAAATCTCATAAAGTTTGAACTAAAAGTAACTTAATTTATTTTGACATGGATATTTTATTTGAATAAGTGGATTTGGCATCCATTTCTGAACTTGTAGTGCTTTAATCAGAAAAGTATATTTATGGTAAAATTCTTAAGAGTAAATAAGTCTTTGTATTTTTAAAATCAGAAAGGGTTAATGGTTGATGAATCTGGCAAAACTAAGAAGCTGCGTCCTGGTGAGGTAGTAGAAGTGAGACAGAGACGCAAGTCAAGCACAGATATCAGGAGACAGAGGTGAGTTTCCTAGTATTTATTTCTCTTTAGAAAACAAATCTAAAAATCCCTTAGAATATGAAATGTTTATGGCTAGGATAGTTTAATTGTGTCTTTATGTTAAGTTTTGAATACCTTCATATTAATATTTCATTTTAAAAAGCTTAGGAGAAATTAATTTGTCCTTTTTTTTTTTAGCTGTCTTTAATTGAAATATTTTCTTTGAGAAGACTAAAAGCAAGAAAATTTTATGTGGATGAAGAGATATATTTAATAAAAAGTAGTGCAATATTGATAATAAAAACTAACCATTATTATTTTTTTATGTAGTGTGGCTGACATTCAGGAGCTTGTTGACAGACCCTCTACTCCTTTGCGACCTATTCCTGAGAATGAAGGGGCTCCACCGGTGATTGTAGATTATCAGGATAACATTAGTTCAGTGGAAGGTAGATTTAAATACTGCTTTTTATTTAACTTAATTTGAACTAGATCAGTGTTATTCAATGAAACTTGTATATTTTTTATTTTGCTTATATAATGCTGATTGGCTTTAAAAAGTATTGAGGTGTGTTTCACAGCACAGAAAACATTACACAAATACAAAGATTTTGTTTAGATTTTTTCAAAAGAATATCTGAGATTATAAAAAGTTATAGATGAGAAGAAAATAGGTTTAGTCAGTGAAGTATCCACAGATTGTGGAAGTTATGCAGTTTGATACATCTTATCTCAGAACTACAGGTTTTAAGATAAAAATACCATATCTGGCAAAAATGCAGAGTTTAACCTGCTGAAAAATATTAGGTCTTTTCATCTTAACCTCCAAGCTTTTTCAAGTATATATGTACATAGAAGAAACATGGTGGTTAATTAGTGATGAATAAACAATAACATATTTTCTTTTAGGTTCACCTGCATACCTGACATTCCAAGTTGAAGGAAATCCTGCACCACAGTTTCATTTTTACAAAGGAATTACAGAAATCTATGAAGGTGGCCGTTTTACGATTGGTACAGATGGAGATACTAACTCAGTGTACCTGTGTATCCGCAAGGCAAAGTCTACAGATGAGGGCAAATACAAAATTGTTGCATACAATGATCTTGGAGAAGACACAGTAAATGTAACTTTATTTGTCAGTGGTAAGTAAAAGATATATTTATTTTGCTGGAATATCTTGTAAAATATTTTTGGTTTTATGGCCAAAAATAACATTAATAGCAAAGGTACTGAAATAATGAAGTAATGCATTCTAATCATTATAACTAATATAGTTTGATCCTTATACTTAATTAGCTAAGATCATTTCTAGATTTCTGTATTAAATTCTGATCTATGTATGTAGCTTACTTTAAATCAGAAGTGAATATTACAATCATATACATCTCCATACAAATATGCATATACTTTTTTATAACATGTCACAGTATTTGAGTAAAAAACTCTGCAATTTCATGATCAGTTTCTTAGAAGTACGAGTCTTTTAAAACTGGAATATATTTTTTACATATTTTTGTGAGGGTTTTGAGTTAAACCCTAATAGTGAAGTATGGTAAAAGCCCTCTTAAATAAAGAGAGGTCACATAGATGTAAAATCATAGTTTTAGTTGACCAAAAGTTTAGCTTGTGTGTTTCAAGTTTATCTTGTATATCAATCTGTTCAGCATGTCAGATTCCTAGGATCTACTGGGTTGTAGTGACTCTAACTTTAATTAAGGATGTAGTATTTTATGTTACTTCTAGTTCTTTAACATTTACATTGAATCCTGAAGAAATGGCGGCTGTGTCAAATATATTCATATTTAGTTATTTCTCTCAAAGGGGGCTGAAGGCTGCCTGGAGGGGTCACCTGTTTTAACCACTCTCACCACTATACAGTAGTGTGATGCCTGTCATTCAGTCAGTAGACACTAAAATAATGTCACATAAGGAACACTTAACATTGCAATTTGTACTGTAATGATGTCAGTAAAAGTGTACGTATTACAAAGAATTACGATAAGAATTATGCACTCTGTAAGCTACAACACTGCATAACATATGAACTTCAAAAGCAAGAAATAAAAATATTTATTATTCTTAATTTTGATTTTATTTACTCTTGAAACAGGGACTCCGCGGAAGTGCATCTAGTATGTATTAAGTACATTCAACACAAGAACATTTTATTTTTATTTTTTATTTGAAATTGTAGTTTTCAGTCTTAAAAACTAATGAGTTTGAGAAAAGAAATTTAATCAGATTGTGCTATTTAACTACAAGGATTACATATAATCATGTAAAAATACATTTGTCACCAAGTATAATGTGCTTATTGTTTGTTTGTTTTTCATTTATCATGTAATAGAAGACAGGCCACCGAAAATTTGGTTTGATATACATTACTTTATACATTTTATGTACCCTATACTTGATTTGGTAATCATTGCAAATGAACTATTCATTTATGAGTGTGTGTGTGTGTATGCGTGTCTTAATGATTAAGCTTCTTCTTGTATAACACTTGTGTATTTCTTTACTGTGCTTAGATGAAAGTGGTATGGACTTCAGGGCTATGTTAAAACACAGGTAATGTTTAATCTTGCATGTTTTGTGAAAATTATACAAAAGCATATTTTAAGCTAATGGATTAATTCTGTGAAAAAACAATTTTGTTTTTGGTATATGTGACAAAGCTAATATTCAAAACATTAAGTTGAGGAGATTTTTTTTAATTTACGAAACCTAGAAATACGTTTTTCTCCCATAAAAGAAAGCTATGAATTTTTTATTTTGTAGTACCATGAATAGTTTTTTTCTCTACCAGTTAGTTTGTTTTCAACTGGTCTTGAGTTCATCATAACTTACATAAACTAGCCAGGTCCAAAATAAATATGATAAAGGTATGAATATTTACTTTAATACACAAAACAGTTTATTGGTGAAGTTTAGAATACTGTTTGATCATAAATTGTAATTTTCTATTTAATATCTTAGGCCTACGTTCTAGGAACAGTAGATACATATAATTAAAGTATGCAGAGTATTTTTTTAATTTGAAAATATATCTTCATTTCAAATAATGTGTTTTAAATACAGTTATTGAATTATTATAAAATTTTAAGTGGCCAAAATTTATCTTAATATATATATATATGATGCCAATTAATTAGTATTAAGTACTTTTATAATAAATATTCTTCATTGATTAATGTCAATGTTTTTGTAGTTATTACAGTTAGTTAATATTGTATTAATTAGCAGGACCCAAAAACTTTCCTCAGTGATTAAATTTGTTTGTTCCAATCACTGTATTAACATTTCTGTGGCTGTCAGACCAGATGTTTAACATTGGTATATATATATATTTTTTTTTTCATGTTACAAGTTTGAAGTAAAACTAAGTTATTTCAAGAAGAAAACTGATTAGAACAAAATTCTTTCAGCTAAAGTGATACTAAAATATTGAAGATCTTGTGATATATGTCAGAACAAACAACCTTTTCAGCAAATTCATTACTAATTAAAGCTTGAGGGAATTACTGTAGTTTTTTTATAGCTGATTTCTTATCATATTTTACAGGCAGTATGCTAAATGGGGTAAAAATAAAAATGATCCAGACTGGGGTGAATTACAGAAAGTAGAAGAAGATCCAAAAGCTAAACTCAAAGAGACAAAGGTAAGGTTACTTTTAACTTTAACCAAGATAATATATTTTAAGACTTGCTATGTATTTCTGTATTATTTCTTGAATTAGTTTATGAACTATGGATGTTTTTAGTGACAGTAAGTGCATGTACTGGACTTGACTCTGTCATTACTGTATTGAAGCTACAATTCTATAATCAAACTGTTTCTTAAGCTTCAGTCACTGTTTGGAGGAGTATATTGAAGAAATGATTCTTAAATGTTTTTTTATATATATCTACATACTGGTTTGATTTCAAAACTTTTTTAATTCAAGTGGTAAAAAAAACTTATTTTATTTGTCCACAAAGTTCAACATTTCTTGACTATTAACGTATATATACATAAATATATTTGTTTAAAAATGTAAACACTGTCATGTAAGCTTTTTTTTTACTACAAATTTGTTTTCTAGACTTTGAAGTTTATGAATTAAATAAAATTATTGAAAATTCTTGGATTTTTTTTCAAAGTAATTATAGAAATTAGAAATTTATAGAATTTAGACTTAAGCTTTAAAATCTCAAAGGTAACAGAAAAGAAAGCCTTGGTTACATAGTAGTAAGTAATGTTACTTCTGTATTCTGTTCAAAAACTATTCTTCATTTATGAATAGTTGAACCTTTTTGTTCATTACATTTGTTTTAGCATTTTGTTGCAACTAAAGATTAATTGTGATGAATATTACTTTAACAACAACCGTTTAGAGTGTTTTACTTTAACAACAACCATTTAGAGTGTTTTACTTTAACAACAACCATTTAGAGTGTTTTGCTTTAATAACTTTTGTAGTTTTGGATATAAAAATATTATATTCAAATTAATTTAATTTTTATTTTTTCCTGTTTGTTGAAGACATAAACTTGTTATATTCAGAAATTGAGTTAGTCATCAACTGAAGAAATGGTTTGCAACATGTCCCCCCCCCCCTTTTTCTTTAGTATAATAAATACAACACTGTATTGTAAAAAAAATTGTGAAAAATGCAAATATGATGTTCAAACATTTTTGTAAAGAAAAACAAGCTGTTATAGACAACTTAAGAAGATCAGTCAAAATGGTGACTGGATTATATTTACTGTCATTATGCTTTATTGCCTTATATTTCACTTACGATTTATGGCTTTATGAATTATAATCTTATGATGACTGTTTTTTCAGTATATATATATATATATATTGAATGATACATAAATTCTATGATTTCTTTTTAGCAATACAAGTATATGATGGTATGGAATATTTGAATCTATTTTTGACAAAATAAAAAGTTTGAAAGCTCATAGTTTGAGGCATAGAAACAATTTGCAAGAGGGCAAGCTACTGTAATTTAGCTCTAAGATGATGATGTATTAATACAGGCATAGTTTTTGTATGCTTCTTTTTATAGTTTTGGAAACATCACTTTGTTTTTCTGCTATGTGTACAAGTTTCCTCTACAGATTCATTTGCATGTTTGTTGGTATGTCATCAGTATGTAATATGTAATAAAATGTAATCATAATTATTCTGTTAGAGTTGCAGGAGATGCAATTAAACATTAATTGTGTTTTGTTTTTTTTATAAAATAATAGCTTTACAGTATAAATGCTTACTAGCTGTAAATACATGTTTGCTATCATTTTAGTAAACCATGGGATACAATTTTGTTTAGTTATATATTATTTGAATGTTAATTGCAAGTCGTTGCACAAGTGGAGACTTCAACATATCACAAATATTTGCATAAGAAATAAAAATCATAAAATAAGTATTTTTATTAAATTTAGTTGTGTTAATTTAAAAATTGGTTTGTTTTAAACAGTGCATTTCTTTTAATATCTTTCTTCTTCAATTTTTTATAACTTGAAATGAGAATGTAGTTTGAATACAACTTAAGTGTTCATGTTGCACTTCTTATCAAAAATCTTACTTTTTCATATGAGATTATGCTTACAGATATAAAAGCTTTATATGAGCTAAGCACAAGCCTGTGGTCATGTAAAAAAAAATCTTTGTTTATACTGTCTTATAAATACAATGTAGGTGTCTCCTCAGGGTTCCCATCAGTTGTCGTTGGCTGAAATAATCCCTGATTGTCCCACTCTTCACAAAGTCTACTAGGATGAGTGGGAGGTTTGAGACATTCTAGTTCTCATCAGGGTCAATGTTTGTGCTGAAAAGCTGTTTGATGTTTCCTACTTCCATTCTCCTATTGCTTGTTTATTTTTCAGATTGCTGTACATTGTGGCTGAATGATGTAATTCATTGTTAATGTGCACAGTTTAAGAGCTGTTTGTAGTTTAACATAATTTGTTTTTCACAAAGATACCTGTGCAAGATACATTGAAATACCAACATTAAAATAACTAATGTGTCTTTGATGTACATATGTGTTATAGTTTAACATCCGAGTTAAAAGTATCTAAAAGCCACAATATTAAATGACTACAAAAATCAACAGTTTGAAATTCAATACTTGACACATTACGTAAAAAATCTATTTCATTTTTGGGCAAATAATGCTTAATTAAAGATTTTATTTGAATATTCATGTAAATTATATTTCAATGCACTTTATAGAAATTACATACTAAATGTAGCTGAATTGATGTGCCCAGGTTTCTGTACATTATTGACAGGCTATGAAGGAAGGAATGCCATTTCTACAAATGTAAGATTAAAAAACCAAAATAAGCCTGACAGTTTTGTGTATGACACCATATCCTGTGTGACTTACTATCTTTGCCAGTTTGGGGCATTTTTCACCTTTTTTTAAGCAGATTAATAAATGATAAAAACCTTTCATTGCATGTAATAGTTTTATATACTTGAACTATACTACAAACAGAAATTTGTACAGTTTCACTAATAATGTTAGTAACTAGTTTTTGCATATTTTGCCACTGTTGCTATATATACATGAAAGACCTCTATTAAAATTGCTGATACATGTTATAATACATGTGTACCATATATATGTGCTTAGTTACTATAATCCTTATGTGTAGTTACTCTATGTTGTATGTTTGTGATAAACATATATATATATATGTATGTACTTACTCTGTATTACTAATTTTTTGACATGTGTTATTATTCTATGACACTGTAATGCTTGTGAGATGTATAATTACTGTATATCACTGTAATGTATGTGTGAAATGTGCTTACTGTATATCACTATAGTGCTTGTGTGATATGTAATGACCTTATATCACTAATTTTTGCATGGTATGTACTTACATTATATCACTATAATATGTATTTAACACGTTTAGTTACCTCATATCACTGTAGTATTTGTGTGACATACATGTGTGGTTAATTTATATTAGGTGTTAGTTTGATGTGTAGTTGCTTTATATCACTGTAGTGCTTATGTGACATTTGGTTATTTTATATCACTATAATATTTGTGTCATAGGTAGTTATTTATATCACTTTAATGTTTGTCTTGCCTGTAGTTATGCTATATTACTGTATTGTTTGGGTGACATACATGTATCACTGTAATGTTTATGACATGCATAATCAACTTTTATCGATATAATTCTTGGCATGTGTAGTTACTGTATATTGCTATAATGCCTGTGTGATATACATGTGTAGTTGCTGTATATTACTGTAATACCTCTGTGGTGTACATGTGTAGTTACTAAAGGTGTGGCGATACAGTGATATGATACGAGTATCATATCATGAAGCTGTGATATGATTGTATTGGTATATCGTTCAATAGGATACAATTTATGTATCTTAGGGAATTTGGTAAGATTTGAGTAAACATTATAAGTGTTATGTACAGAAAAAATCAGAATTTCTAATAAAGTATTTTTGCTAACAATTAATGATTCAATAAAAGAAAGATGAGTATTGAGTACTACATGTTGTCTTTATTTCTTTTATCAAAAACATTACATGAAAAATAACACAACAAAATAGATAGATATTAAATTTATTTTAAATTTTAATTCTCTTGCCAGCTGCAATTTAGTTGGTCAAACCTGAGAATTTGAAAAAGCAATGTAAAGTGTGAATTACTTAAATAAGACAATATTAGTAATATAGATAATAAATTACAGAAAAGGCTGTCAACATTTGTAACAAACCATTGGTAAAACTTCTGTATCTATATATATATCGTATCGTGGCATCAATATCTAGGTACATATCGTACTGACTACTATGATGAGATACGCACCTCTAGTAGTTACGGCATATTGCTGTAATGCCTGTTTGACATGCATGTGTAGTTGCTGTATACTACTATAATTATTGTTATATTATTAATGTACTGTTTTGTGTGTTGTGTGTAAATACTGTTGATTACTATAATGTGTGTGTGTGTTTTATATGTACTTTTTATATGTGTAATTAAACATGTTAATCACAGATATGAATATAAATGTTACTATGTGTATTTGTAAGCAGTGCCACTTATAGATAATATAAGAATTCTCATGAATTCACTACATCAAGATGTTTTTTCCAATTATTATTGTTTTATTTTTTGTTTTAGGATCATAAGAAAATTATATTTTTCAATTAAATTTAGTAAAAACTGCAATTTATGAGATTGTGTATTACTTTAAATATTTTGTTAATTTATCCAATTTCAAACTGCTAATAAAATGCTTTGGTTATTGTAATATACTTAGCAGAAAATATTTGTTTTATAAAAAGAAATTCTGTGAAACACCTTATAAAATATTTATTAAAATTCAACCATACAGGACTGAAAGCTAGACAGTGTTCACTGCAGGAATCTGTTGCATAGTTTTGTAGAGGTGAAACCTGCAGTATTATAAAATATTTATGTTGTATGTATAGAGGCTGAATTTATCACATGCTTATAGCATCTTACTGTATTAGGGCTGTGTTACAGTTAGGTCAGATATACAGAGTTTTTGTGTTCACCACTTTATTGTTTTTTCAATCTTCCTCCGAAAAAAACAATATTGATTTAAGGAATGTGATTTTTACAAATTCTTTTCTTGTTCAAAAATCTTTATAATATTTAATTACAATGTTTAAATATCTTAAGAATTAGTGTAATAATGTAATACATGAATTGCTTGAGTTGTAAAAATATTTATTTAGTTGATTCTAAAACTTGAAGAAAAAGAATTGATTCTTGTAAATGTATGAGACTTTCTTTTATGATATACAGGTCTTCAAATATTTGTTGGTAGTGTTTATAGTACTTGATGATTTATTTTTGTATTTATATGTTTGTGTCTAACAGCACTATAAGTGTTAATTGTTGTGTGGTTAGTGTGTCAGTTCAATATAAATAACATCTGTATGTAGAGAACCAGTTTTTCCCGGGTGTTTTGTGATATTTGTGGTCAATATTATGATTGTGTTGTATATTGTAGAGTGGTGAACGCCGTGGCTCCCGGGAAGGTCGGCGTCCTTCATTGGCCGAACTAATACCTGACTGGCCGGTGCTACAAAAAGTCGAAAGAGGAAAGGTTGGAGGATGTAAAAGATTTTTTTTCTCTCTCCATCCTCCTCTGTCTATCTGACTTCAGTTTTCTTCTTAGCTTTTCTGTATTTGTTTTCAGGGCTGGCAGAGTTACTGTTTTTCGCCTTCTGTACATCTTGCATATAGCTGAGATTTCTTTTAAACTTGGGCCTAGCTGATATACACACCTTCCATTAATTTAAAACATTTTTTACAACTCTGGTTGACCCATATTCCTTGAAATAATCTCAGATTTCTTATCAACTGTGGCCTGATATGCAGACCTATCAGTGATTTCAAGCAGTTTATCAGCTTGGGTCTGCTCTGCATTTCTTAAAATAATAAGAGAGTGCTACTCAACTCAATTCTGACGTTTATCCCTTAAAATCATCTCAGATTACTTATCAACTTTAGCATGATGTGCATGGCTAACAAAATTTCTTCTATCTTTTTCAAATCGGGCCTGATTTACATTTCTTGAAGTAATCTCAGGTTGCTTGTCAGTCATGGCCTGATCTGCCAAATCTAGCAATGATTTTTTCTCTCTGTTTTTCAACTTGGGCCTAATTAGCATTCTTTGAAATAATATCAGTTTGTTTTTCAATCATGGCCTAATCTGCATATATAGTAATGATTTCCTCTGTTTTTTCAACTTAGGCCTGATTTGCATTTTTTGAAGTAATCTCAGATTTCTTGTCAATTATAGGCTGATCTGCCAATATAACAGTGATTTCCTTTCTCTTTTTTCAACTTTGGTCTTATTTGCATTCCTTGAATCTAGCTTGATTTTTCCCCTTTTTTAAATTTAGGCTTGATTTGAATACTTTGAAATATTCTCTGGTTACTTGCCAATCATGACTTAATTTGAACACCTAGCAATGACTTATCTTTCTTTTTGAACTTGGGCTTTATCTGCACTCCTTGCAATAATTTTGATCCTCTTTTCACATCTTATATTTTTCAACTTAGACTTCATCTTGCAGCGATTTTAAATCTCTTAAACTTTGATTCTAAATGATGTGCTGATCTCATCTTCAAAATATACTACATTTAACTATTTCTCCTTTGTTATTTCAGTCTTCTCTGAAACACATTTTTCAGTGTTTTAAAAATCAATGTCATTAGAAATGCTCCAAAATAAATGATTTGTTTTCTCATTGTAATATTTAACTTTGTGATGTGTTCGTTTTTGAGTTAATACATATCTGTCTGTGACTAATACTACAGGATGTGATGTTCAACACCATATCTGTGTCTAAGTGTTTGCATGTTTGTAAAAGTTATAATCCAGAAGTTAATTATTTTCACCAAAACAAAATATATTAAAAGACAGTTTTCCAACATTACATGTATGTGAGTTATTGGTGATGCTAACTACATATCACATGAATATTCTTTAATCATGTACATTTTTACCAGTGTAATATCTCATAATTATATATAATCTGTTTTGCAACTAAGGTATTCCAGATGATGTACGTTTACCACTAGAATGTTCCTCAGTTATGTAAATTGCTTGTTGTAAGAATATCCCTCGATGGAATAAGTCATATTACTATTATAATATCCCCTGATGGGAAATTATTTACAAGAAGAAGATCTAAAATATTTTACGACCAGAATATCATTTGGTGATCTAAGTTATTTGCTGTAAAAATGTGATTGGTAATGTTAGATATTATACCACTAATATACCTTCTAATGAAAACTGATTAATTACTCTTTAATGATGAAATTATTTTAACACTAAAATATTGCATGATGACATAACTTATTTTACGATTAACATATCTTACCACTGTAATACTTCCTTATACTTAAAACATTTATAAAAATGAACTGAATACCTTTATATCCAGAATCCACAACACCTCTGGTCCAGCTTCCTTTTTTCTTTGTTATAAATTTTATTTTTGTGGAGAAATTTTGTTCTGATATGAATTATTTTATATATTATGTTAACACCTCATTCATGATTATGATTATTTTTTCATCTATTTCTTTACTCTGAATAGAACTGATTTATATTTATTTCTGGAATATATTTTGCAAACCTTCTGTATTTAAATAGAAAATAAATTCTACTTTTTTTTAAAAAAATCAAACTTTTCCAAAAGTCAGAAACATTTCAATCATTACTGTGATCATATTTTTTTGTTTTGTACAGCAAAAAAGCAAAAAATAAATTATCTCAAGTTTGTGCCACCTCTTCTTACTGTCTCTAAGTTTTAGAGTGACTTGATTTCAAGATTTCTTTATCATCATGTGTGAAAAAGGCTTCTGTTTTGGGGATATTCACTGTGCAAATATTTTTCATTGTATCCTAGATCATTAATTTTTTGAATATTGTTTTATTTAATTACTTTTTTACAATTTGACTGTCTTAAATTATTTACTCACTATTTATGTTCTTTTATTATAAATATTTTTGGTATATATATATATATATATATATATATATATATATATATATATAT